GCCCTAGCGGCCCTAGCCCTCATATCTGGGCCTTCCTGAACATTGGCTTCTATGTATACTGTGGCGTTGTTTTTTCCTGGTTACTGGACCTTTTACACGAGTCTCTAATTCTCTAGCCAAAACCGCTTCTCTCCTGTGCCTCCTTGAAACGAAGTGCTGGTTAAAGTGATTCAGCAGGAAGCCAACATTTACAGTTTCGGTTTTTGGATCGTATGTTTTGCCTGCTGGTAATTGAGATCCCGGCCACATGCCATGCCATCCCGAAGCGTCCAAGCAAAAACAGCGCCACCAAAGTCCTGCGCAGAAGCCTCGACCTCGCTCCTGCAAGCCTTGAAAGCACACTTCAGAACATTTATCGAAAGTAGAATAGATCATACTGTCATATTATGGTATGTCGAAATAACTAATATCTCAATATAATCTATGGCATTTTCTTGAGTTGATGTACACAAATTTTGCGATGTCCTACTTTATGTACACATAACTCAATAATTTTACACATATGCAGTTAATGAGGCCAGGCCACTTGGCAATCTTTCGTTGCCCCAGTTCCACCACTCAAGGGCGCGGCTGACACCTGAGAGTCTGCTGTGACTGCGAGGCTTAATAAGCCCGAGCCGGTTGGAAAGCACTACGAAGATGTAGAGACAATATTATAACATGAATGTAGTAGATAGCACAACCCAAAAACAAATACACAATGTGAAACTTAAACATGTAAATATGTAATATGAATATAAGTCGACTTTGTGCCCAGGTACAGTAGTTGTCCACTGAACAGTGATCTGCCGACCCGTGCACTGTTCAAACGCGACAACCCGGCCATAACTGCTGCGACACCACTTTAATCACAATCCTGACGGGTGCACTCTGCAGGCAGCCGGCAGCAGCCTTGTCGTGGAACTTCGCGCGTAGAACTAGACGCTGAAACATAGTCTGCTTTGCTCAGGTGGGGTGGGACCCTTGGCTTGGAGAGTGACTGCAGCTTGTGGAGGTGCTGCTACCTGGAAGCTGTGGGTGCGACGTAGGTGCCTGTGTGATCAGAACCAGTAATCAGTGTAGTAACTGTAGAAGAATGCATTTACCCATAAAGCATGGAACGACTAGAAGGGGACACTGCTACTGAATGTTCCGAAGCATACTAGTTAAGTAATCAGTAAGCATGCAAGGAGACTACATAGGGCACCCATTCAAGATTCCGGGGCTACAGGTAGCGCCCGACAATGGGAACCGCAAATGCACATAAATTGGGGTTCCAGCAGCTCGCTCTGTGGGATCTGAAAGAAGCAAAGTCGGGCCGGAAGCGCTGCCCACCTACTGCAGAAAAGGGTTCCAGAGTTATTCGCGGTTCTGGTTCCGTCTGAAGGCGCAGGGGTCGTGGGGAATGGGAGCTTGGAATGTTATCTGTGCGCATATGTGTATGTATATGTATATATATATATGTATGTATGCTCATGTCTGTTTATGTACCTACAGTATACTTTGTATACCTCTATTGTATGCATGCTTGCTTCTTGTCTTGATACCTTTTTGTACGCATACACATATACAGTGTGCGCTGCGCTTAGGGGCTGAGTGTTTCGGGCATTGGATCTTGGGCTGTGCGACCAGAGCTTTGGTACTTCCACCACTCTGGGTGACAGTACGATTCTTGAACTCAACCGGCAGCAGCACTGTATGATTCTCAAGACCAGTGTCGGATCATGCTTATTGAGCTGTTCGCTGTAGCAGGCTTCGGTGCTTTGACATGTTGTGAGTACTACTTACTAGTGATACTCGTCTCTATATCTGCATCTCTCTTTCTACCAATGCCGTGTTATCCTCAAGGGTCTCGCCTAGCTTCACTTCTGCTCGCTGGATGGTTGCCAGGACTGCTGCCGCAAGTGCTGATTTGAGGGCGATGAAGCTTGTGATCTTAGCGGTGTGCACGCAATGCTTCTCTTCTCCTCCGTCATCACCACCAGCTTCATGAACATCATCGTCATGAGTCATGATTATCATCCAAACGAAAGTGTCCTCCTCCTCCTCCTCCTCACTCATCATTGTCGCCAGGCCGAAAGACAACCTCTTCCGATGTTGCCAAATTGTGCGTGCGGTCTTATCGGTAGTGGTGGTGAGGGGGGCGGCATTTCAGTGGTGCTGCTGGTATAGTGGTGATGGGCACGTGGTGGCAACGTTCGAGGTTTTGGGTTACTTATCGAGTCTGCATGCCTCAAATATGTACAACGGTGATGACTCTGGCATTCTGATGCCCGCGAGAACCTATCAATTAGTTCCGAACCTGCGAGGCAACGGAACCCAGCTTCTTGATACCTTCTGTTTCATCTTATGGGGATGAATGCTCCCGTTCTCAACTGCGGCCCCTGAGACCTGCGAGTCATTCCGAATTGCCTTGGCGCGCTTTCGGCAGAAGCACTGCAGCCGCGCTCCGCAAGGGGGCATGCTGTCGGAAGAAGTTTAAGTTCAAAGATTGCCTACTTTTTTGGTAAGTATATTCGTATTCTTCAATCACCCGGCGGCATGTTTGGGGAATCTCAGCTTAACCTCATGATGGCCTACAGTTTGGAGGATTCATCGCTACAGGGTCTCTGGGTTGAAACGCTGGGGAAGTAGCTGCAAACCTCAGCGACTCGGTCGAGCGGCTGTTGGAGAAATCACGAGGACCAGCAGTTGCCAAGATGCAGCGGACCCTAGATAGAAACTAGTAAGTAGTCAAGACCCGTAGTCACGACCCTTGTATAAGGATCCCCACTTGTTCACTCAGACCCCAAAATATCCAAACTACGAACCAGCCATCTACGTTCTCGAAGGCTCGCATTTTGCATTTGCTTGCGGGTGCCGGCAACTCTGTTCAGGGTTCAGGGCTTTAGGGTCGAGGGGCACTCAATGGAAGGATTACTCGTCAGAACAGCAGTTAGAGGTTAGGTTTTCGCGTCTGAAGGCTTCCTCGGACGTCATACTCATCTCACTAGGCCCCTGGGAGCAGAAAGGCAGCCGGATCCATCCTTGAAGCATGTCATCTGCTTGAGAGTGCAAACTGCGTAATTACGGCACATTCCCAGAGACCTAGGCTGGAAGGAAGTTCTACATCATCAAGGTGTCATGAATAGGCAGTGTGCACATGACCCGCCAGACTATCCGAGAGGCGGCGTGACATGTCCAAGGACACGTTTGCAGTTACATGTTGGGTACATTTTAAATTACGCCGGCTAGCACCAAGCAGACTCCAAGCAATTAGTGCATGTGTGCAGATCTCTTTAGCTGCTGAAGCAGGCGGACTAACAGCCCGGACATGTCTGAACTTGAAACTTGCGACGGCGGCGGCAGACCCTACAGCGCCCGTAGCCGTGGTCAAGGAGACCATGTCGACGGTATCACCTTCCTAAACCTTGAAACCTACAAGGCGACAGAGCAGTTCAAGGTTCTGGGCCACGAGACAAGAAACTTGAACGGGAAGACAAGACGGAGCAAGCAGCAGGCTTCGATTGCACCTCTGAGGTCACTGAGGTCGAGGGCTAAACCAGCCACCAAATCGATTGCTTCACCCTCCTGAGAATGTGAATATATGTACATGTATATGTACATGTGTATGTGTATGTAAACGTATATGTACAGGTGTACTTATATGTATCATGCAAAATGCGAAGAGTAAAGTGTAAAGATATATGTATATGCATATGTATATGTATGTGTGTTTGTGTATGTGATTGTTTTTGTGTGTGTTTGCATGTATGCACGTAAGCATGTATGTATGAATGTATGTACTTGTGTATGCATGCATGTATGTATGTGTGTACATGCCTGTGCATACAGTATATGTACATACATAGGCACATGGGTGTGTTTCTGTGTGTTTATTTGTCAATATGTGAATATATACATGTATACAACCCTCCATACTATATGTCCATATAACAGTTTGCAGGGTTGCTGGGCTGCAGGCCTTGCACTCGCGCAGCGGAGCGGCGAGAGGCTCCTCCAGGCTGCAGTCTGGGCAAAGGCATGGGCACAGCAACAGCGACTCCCCTAAAACCCTAAACCCTCTCAAACCCTAAACCATGGTTACTACGAAGAAGTACTCAGGAATAACGTAGGCAAACCTTCCGACCCCTATACTATGCACAAGGGACTCTTGACATCACTGCGCTTCTGGTCTTCGAGTTACCGCTTCAGCGTGTTCAGAGCCGCTCTCCACGGGTTTTCGCTGCTTAGAACCGGACCTCAGATCCCCGCGCCCTTCAATCTTGCAGTTTTCGCAGGATCTTGGATCCGGCAAGGGGTCTCAAGATGTCTCAGGGTCATGATTGTAACCTAGGATACCGGGCAGGATTGTCAGCAGCGTCAGCGTTTCTGGCTGCACGCTCTCAAACTACTGCATGCGAATCGCTCACGACGACGTCTTGGCGGCCACCCCTTGATTCGAGCATGCGTGGCTTACATGGGGAGGGGTCGGCACAGTGCCAGTCACTCACTTTTGCAGTCAGCGCGGTCTTACGGATGCCGCAGTTCTCACCGCTGTGAAACATGCCTTTGGCAGTGTCATTTTTTGCAATAGCACTGCTATCCTTATTGGCCTCATCCTCACTCTTATAGACTTATAGTGCTTCGTTTCATATCACACTAGTGTTCGGATTACTAGTGCTAGATTCTTGTTTCTGCTGCCATCAGTCTTACTGCGTGTCTTGTTCTTAAAGTAGAGACTATTGCTACTATCAAACACTACAAATTACTTTGAACTACGACGATTACTATTATTACTATTCTTTTTACTAGTACTACCACTCCTACCACTACTATGCGCCTGTTAGACTCTAGCTCGCCCGTGCTCGCAAAACTGTCTCAAGCAGTATATGGACGAGTCATGTCTTGAAACGTCCAGGGCGGGGACATCTTGCAGAACATGTTTTACTTATGCTTTGAAGGCAAGCCGTGTGAATGTCTAAGTTGCCTCCTGTCATATATAAAGCTCCACGAGTCGGAGAACCTCTTCACGATCCGGCTCACTTGTCCTTGCCCCAATTTGACCTGCAGGAACATTCACGTCGTCCCGTGCCACACTTAGAAGGGAGATGCTGCATGGTCTTGCTGGTACTACATACATGAGCATATCAGAAATTAAACTGGCAGACCCTAATATAGACCCTGAAAAGGAGAGTTCGTGCCTAACGGCATGCGAAAGCCGATTAAGAAAGAGATGCCGGTTTGACATGCGCTCCAGCTTCACAATCAAGCATTGAGCCTTCGCGCACTTGCCCCAAACCTTTGCAAACCTGTCAATCCAAACCCTACAAACCCTAAACCCTCCACCGTCCACAAGCCGTAACCCTACACCCCCCAGCCATGGCACTTGATGGGCACGCGGTCGATTTGCTCCGGAACGCGCTCGATCTTGTACATGCCACGGGCGACGGACATGATCGGAACTCCGGGAACCTCGGGTCCAAGATGTTGTTGCGCTTTTGGGGTTGCGGGAAGAGCTTCTGAAAACAATCCGAGGGGGTCTTGATTTTCTTTGCTGCAGCAATGTGGTTAGGGTGCATGCTGTCTGTCGCTGTGTTCCTCGACACACACTGTACGAGTGCGTCTGCTGCCCAAACACATGTTCAATCAGCTGTTAATCCTGCTTTGAATGCTTGACCGTCTGCATGTAGCATATATTGACTGAAACAATAACTCGTCAGATCTCGGCTTGCAGCTGAGATGCCTTTCGTATTCTTCGCTTCAAGTCCTCGATTCTATCCCTTGTGGAGTTATTGTCTTAACCGCCCGCAGAAGCATGACGGCAAGCAAAGAGTCCTTGTCATTGGTGCAAACTATGTAGCATCGATGCTGGTCGACGCGCGAATGGATACAGTCGTCTGCATAGATGCCCTTGTGCTGGCAAGTCAATCTTTTGAATCCTGGGCGCAAACAGGCTCTGACAGTGGCTCTTGCCGTTCGCACTGACATGGCCATGTCGGTCCAGTTGACTGACTGTTCCCATGCCTAACCCACACAAGACTGCTCTCCTGCAAACCGGCCGGCTGTGTGTGATGGTTCTGACTCTGAAATCATCAGCACGAAACCTTCAAAAGGCTGGACGGACCAGAAAATTAGGACAGAGTTCTTAGCAACAGAGCAGCAGCGGGTGCTTAAGACTACATAGTCTCACGACGGAGTGCAATGCCATGAGACTCATTCGTACTGGCATGTCCAGTGGCATGTCCGTATGCCAGCCCAAGATGTGCGGAGCAGAGCTCAGCTAGGTTGAGAAAACACAAACAAGCCAAAGCGCTGCTGTATCCTAACTAAAGAATGCTGCTTCCACTCAGTAATCATAGTTGTACATACATAAAATGTCTCTCTCTCTCTCTCTCTATACACTTGTTTCTGCATGTATGTATGTACGTACATACAGGTACATGCATCTTGCTATATAGGTAACTTTCTGTGCGAAGTGGCGCGGATCCTTCGCCAGGCGCAGAGCCAGCCTTGCCATGAGCAGGGTCGGAGGCTCAGGACGGCAGAGAACAATTTATAATTTGGGTGGTTGTCAAAATTAGGGTCCCGTTTTGGGTCCTTATATTATAATACGGCACCTACTATTTAGGGTACCCAAAAAAGGACCATAATTTTGACAACCACCCATATAGGGTTTAGCGTTTATGATATAGGGGTATGGGAGTTTCTGAAAATAGGGGACCCTAATACAGTACCCTACATAGTAGGATCCTTAATCTAAGGACCCCAAAATAGGGTACCCCTAATTCTCGAAAACTCCCACATATAGCCTCTGTGTGCGTTTGTGGGTTGTTTCCCAGGCCGCACGTGCAAGGGTGATAGAAGCAGGAACAATTTCAAATCAGAACAAGCAAGAAAGACATGGCATGGTCCAAGCAGAAAGCTCTGCGTTGGCATGGCAGAAGCCTAAACCCAACTTTAAACTCAGAAGCCTTAGCCGTAAAGCCTGAAACCAGAAAGTCCTTTGGTAACCCTTATAGTACAAGTACCATCCTCGGTCCCTTACAGGAACCCTTAACCATTCTACCCTGAAGCCCCTGACCCTGGACTCGACACCATGGCAGCCTGTGTCGCGTGCCCATTTTCTCGAGCTCAGCCATTACACCTGTGCATTGTGCTAGTTGTGCCGTTGGACATGGGTTTCGGGGCTTATATAGGGTTTTGTTATGCTTGTTTACTGCTGACTGCGTGTGTCTCTGCTGCCAGAGTGAACAGTAATCATTAGGATTCTGCAGGACATAAACCCTTTTTGCATCGGGCCTTTACCACCGCCCGGTAATCTCCACATTCGCTCCTTTTTTGCCACTGGACTCAAGTCTAAAACCCTGAACCCTAAACCTTAACCCAAAACCCTAAACCCTAAATAAATGGGACTCACGGCCTTCCCGCCTCACTGCCTCGGGTATATACCTGGCTCGACTCACCTACAGGCCCAGAACTACTACTACTACTACTACTACTACTACTACTACTACTACTACTACTGCTACTGCTACTGCTACTGCTACTGCTACTGCTACTGCTAGTACTACTACTACTACTACTACTACCACTACTACTACTACTACTACTACTACTACTACTACTACTACTACTACTACTACTACTACTACTACTACTAGTACAGAGTCCATGGTGCCGCCGCAGCCAACAAACTGAACCCTGTCACCGATGCGGATGAACCCGTAAAGAACGCTTCCCCTCAAAGAATGAGCAACCGAAACGCATGAGCCGCCCACTTCGGCGAGCGTCGAGCGTATCGACAAATTTGAATGCCATCATGGCACGGGACATCGTGACACTATTTTTTCGGATTCCTTATTATAGTTATAGTACAATGGGCCCGAAAACCCTATTCTAGTTACCAAGGCCCCTATGTTAAAACTTAGTGCCCTGGCAGAAGCGGCCCGAAATGGCCATAAGAAGACTGTGGGTGATGAGCCGCAGCTCTAAGCAGAACATAGCTGGCACAAGGTGCTTGAAGACACCATATTTCTAAAGGCATCCAAGCGACAGTCAGTAATGCAAGGAACGCATTTTGCTAGCAGGCATTCCATCGCAGATTTGAAGATGTCCAGCTTCCTGCCAAGGGTCGTGTGCGGGTTGCTTTGCCCAGCACGCTTGACTGTGCAAGTGTTTGCTCGTGTCGGGCTTTGCCACGCATAATTACGTGAGCACGCATGCGGAGGTGGGCGGGGGGGCGGGGCACTTGGTTCCCATACACTGCCTGGAATAAGGAAACTGCATATGCGCTACAAACATCAAGATCACATGCTCCAAACTTGCAGGAGCATGCTGATGAGCACGAGTCCGTTCTATGTAGGTGTAGGCGCCGTTATGTCCAAAATCATGCACCCACGAAGCTCTTGTTCTAGGGCCCTGCTCATCACTACCCATCCAACCTCAAGGGCCCTTAAATCGATCCAAGACTCATCTGGATGGACATGTTGAGAAAGTTTGTGTCCAAAAGCCTTAGGGATCAAGCAAGGCACCACATATACTGTAAGGTGGCTGTCGAATGAATTCTGTGTTTAGGGGTTCGGGATGTTGGATTTAGCGGTTAGCAGTAGGGCAGCTTACGCATGAGTTCAGTGAAACAGGTTCCAGAACAGCCCGCAGCCGTTGCATCTGAGCTTGGCTGCGCGTGCATGCAAGCTGCTATTGCAAGGGGGGGGAATCGTTGCAAATACTATTCCTTGAGGCTTGCTTGTCACATCTGCTATAGTAATATGTGCCCCCAAACCCGTTTGCAATTCTTACGGCCCCTATGTTGCTGCCATGAAACAAGCACCGAGAATCCCTACCAACCTTCTGCAAACTGAGTTGAATGAGCGCAACGTGCACACGTACATATCATAGACACGCAAAGTTGTTGCGCAATCCCTGATCTTAAACTCGAACTGGCCACCGCTTTCAGGCGAAGTGACAGCTGGTACGGCGGTTTCAAATTGCTGTTGTACTGGAAGAACCTGAGCGCAAGATTCCAGATTCTCGGACTTCGTCGTGATCCAATAGGGATCGATGGAAGATATGGGAGCTTCCGAAAATAGGGGACCCTAACATAGCAAAAACTAAGTAGTAGGATCCTTATTATCAGGACTCCCCCCAAATAGGGAACCCCTCAATTTTGGAACCTCCCATATGAAGTCGCTTTGAATAATCGATCCTGTTGGGCATTGTGATGACGACCAAGCTCACGAAGGCATCCCGGGAACAGGACCCTGAAAAATCCATAAGCATTCATAGGCCCGAACCCTAACAGCCAAAATCTGTCAGATTTCGAGACATGTAATTATACAGATAGATAAATAAATGGATAGTAATGTCTATCTTCCAATTCTATTCCTTCGCACCGAATGTGCTTAGGAGCTGAGACAAGGGGGCGTCTTCCAGTCTGCAATGCAATCGGCGACACGGGATTTAGACGTCAACATACGTCAACGGCTTATGAATGAAAGAGAACTGGGGAGCGCATGGATCGCAAGTCGCTTCGGTGAGTCACATGCCACGACTTCTAGCACTCTCGAGCCTCAAACCGTACTCAAACTCAACCAGAATCACAATACCGACTATAGACCGTACACCCTACAAGCCTTATACAACCATTAGTGAACCTCTTTGTACTTGTAGCACGTACAACTTAGAACCCCCTCAAGACCCCCTTGCCCTTTGCCCAGCCACAACGAGGAGTTCGCCTTTGGTACTTCTCGGATCTCTTCCTGCTGAGGTTTCCTCTTCTTTTTCCTGCCACAGGCTTCGGCTTTGGGGTTAACGGGTAGGGTTTGGGGTTTGGGGCTTGGGAACTTCAGGATTTTAGTTATGTTGGGTTGGGTGTTGGAGTTTCGGGATGTTGGATAGCTAAACCCGCTTTCTTCCTGCAGGAATCGGGCTGTTGGTGAGGGCCATGATCTAAACGTGTTTTATAGGATTGTCGCAAAGGCTTTCATTGGAATCGTCGCAAAGGCTGTCGTTGTATGACTTTTTCTCGGCGGATTGCAGAGTCGACAGACGCATCCGAAGCATTGAATTCGAGGTGAGACGGTGAAAGAACTACTGGACACGTTGCCACCAGAAACTGCGTGTGCCTGCCCGCGGTGGCTCACGTGTACGGCTGTGGATGTCGTTACACACCCATGCCGTAAAAGCAGGGTTCGGTGGCGGCTGTGCCAGTAGTGAGAGTGGCGCCTCTTCTCCGAGCGCGCTGAGCAGTTCAGCACGTGTAGGTTGTAGAGGGCCAAGCGCCTGGAGCACTGGCTTGTTGGCATCGAAGGCTTGCCAGCAGCCAGTTTTAAGCCGCTTTTGATGTGCCCGGTCAGCTTGCTCGATAGCTCTTACAGCAGACAACTCCAAGGGTGGCATTAAGAGGTGCACGCGCTCGAGACAGCGTGGCACACTCTTGAGGTGGTTCTGCAGCCGGGGAATGGAGTGAAAATGCTTAAGGCAGGCAAGACAGGTAGCGTGGGGCGCAAAGAGCCGCTTGGGCGCAGGTAACCCATGATGGCGGGCAATGTGAACACTGAGATGCTTTTTCAGAGGGAAGCTAGCTGTGCAAAAGGGACAGCGATAGAAGGCGTCCTCGGAAGGAGGAGGGATCAGTGGGCAGGCAGCAGTATTGCGGCGGCCTTGGGCCCATCGCTCAAGGTCAGCAAAATAGATCCTGGCCGCTGCATTTAGTTGCCGGCGCCACCAAGTGCGGTCCTGAAGCATTGTCTCAGTGAGTGCTACAAGTGGACAGGGCGAGTCCAACAGTAGCTTGACGGCAGGGCAGTACATGGCAACGTACTCCAAGTCACCTTGCAGCATGGCGAGCCACGACCGTGCAGGCGTGGCTTCCCACTGCAGCCACCAGAGATGGAGAAGTGTCTGGGGCCCATGTTCGATAACCCTCAGATATAGGCTGGCCCTGACTTTCGCAAGCGCAAGTGGCGGAGCGAGGGCATTGGCTTGCCGGAGCACTTCATAAGAGTGGATTTTGTCGGCAGCAGAAGATCGCGGTTGCAGCGCCTTCCAGATGGAAGTGTACAGGCGGGCCCAGAGCCGCCATTGATAAGCAACGTGCAGTTCCATGGTGGCGGAACCGTACGTGAACTTGGTGGCAACAAGGGAGCCGAGCAAGGCTCGCCGAAGAGGCAGGGGTATGCTGGGGTTGCCAAAGAGGGTACCGCGCAGCGGCCGCAGCGTCCAAGTGCACTGTGAGAACCGGTAATAGATCTCAGGCAAGAGTGACGCATTGCAGGTGACGATCCCACCAAGGTGCTTGTATGCCTGAACCGCAGGTAAATGAACAGTGCGCCTTGCGATACTGTCATGGACCAGTATGGCGTGTTCATAAGCGGCCCCGGGAGGAGGGAGGTCACAAACATCGGCAAAAAGCACTGTAGGCGGCAGCAAAGCGGCGGTCTTGTCAACGGCAAACGAAAGCTGCATACCTATGGCGGTGGCATGGGTCAAGAAAGCAGACGTAGTGGCCTGTACCTTGCGGACGACCTGGGCGGGACTGGTTGCAGACAACATGGCAGCGAAATCGTCCGCCCAAGAGGCAGGGGAGAGTTCGCGTTCGGTCTCAAGACCATCGACCGGCAAGAGTGTGGTACAGGGCGGCAGCACTGTACTCAGCGACTGTTGCCTCAGGAAGGCTTGCACTGAACGCAAATAAGCGCTGAAACTCAGGGCAAAGAACACATCTGCCAACGGATCACCTGGTCGAACGCCAGCCGAAGTGGCAACTAAATCCACATGCTGATCAAGCCGGAACCAGGTGCCCTTGAAAAGCTCGCGCGTGAAGGCTTCAAGGTGAAGGGAACCGTTGCTGTCGATGAGATGATTCAGGCTGGCAAGATGGTCGCGGAGCTCGGCGAGCGCATCGAGAGGGACCCCAAGCTTGCGGAAGAGAGACTGAAGAACGGAGTCATCCGGTGTATCACTGGTGAGAGTCTCGCGTACAACTTGGTAGTAAGCTGCACGAACGTCGAAAAACACAACAGCGGGGTGCTCTCCACTAGCGTGCACGTGTGCTTGATAGCTCCGTACAGCAGTCGCAATCGAGTCTACCCCAACCCCTGGATGGACTCCGCCCATAAGGTCAGGGCTGTGTTGCAGGAGCAAGGGGGTGATGCGCCTGCGAAGGCTCTTATGCAAGAGTTTTCCAGGAACGCTCGAAAGCAGAATGCTGCGATAGCGATCACACTCAAAGGCGGATGCCGCCTTCTTGGCGAGCGTCATTAGAGCTCCTCCCTTAAACTCAATGGGCTCGCGGACGGTGAGTATGCTTTTGACGAAGAGAGGCAGCAGCTGTCGTGCAGCGGTGGGTACCGCTAGTTTTAGGAGCTCTGATGTCACACCGTCGGGGCCAGCAGCTTTGCCCCGTTTGAGCTGAAGCACGGATGTCTCGAGCTCTGTGAGCGAGGGCAGCAGTCGTGGGTCGAAGACGGCGGGCGCCGCACGTTGGGTGGCATCGACAGCGAAGCTGGCGCTGTAGTCCGCAGGGGTAATGTCAACACCGCCTTCTTGGGCTGCAAAATGGCTACGCCAGCGCGCTGCCCTCTCCGCCCCTGTGACGGCGAGAGTGCCATCGGCAAGCGCGACGGCAGGGAGCGGGGTAAAACGAGACCGTTTGGCAGAGGCGGCTTTGGGAAAGGCCCTCCGCACACACTGGTACAGGTGTCGCGGGTCTCGGAGGTCAGCTTGCCCAACTTCTGAGACAAGCTTCTGTAAGTAGTGGCAGCGGTCGGCTTTGACGGCCTGGCGGGCCTCAGTACAGAGCCGATGGAGGCGACTCCACGCAATGGCAATGTTGTGGTTTGCGCCCCTGATCCAGGCCCACGTGGCTGCTGCAGAACCGGTATTGAGGGCTGAAGCAGCATGCAGGTGAGTAAAGGCTGCAAAACCGGTGACAAGCAATCGCCGATGCAGCTCTTTTTCGGCAGCACGTAGGGCAATGCGCGTATCCTTGCGTCGACGGATAATGGCAAGGGTAGGCGCGGTTAGGAAGCTTTGTTGCGGCTTGGGGGTAGACCGGGGCTGTTGCGCCCGGCCCGCGGCCGTCCAGTTAGAGACAAAGGCGCAATAGTGACTGTCCACATTGACAGACCAGTCGACTGGCGGGGCAGCCGATAGTGCATGGCAAAATGCCTGTTTGTCAATGGTGGGGTCCAAGTCGTTAGGCCGACAAGCAACACGGCGAAAGGCAGGAGGGGCTCGCGAGCTGCTTTCGCGTGCAAAAGAGCACTCGACTATGACCGGCAAATGGTCACTACGTTGTTGCAAAGCCTCGAAGGTATACCAGACACGAGAGCGGCAGGAAAAAGTGGCCCAAGATTGCGGGAGGCCGATGTAGTCGAGGCGATGCTGGTCGCCGCGCGGGGACTGCCAGGTCCAGGATGGGCCGCTGTGCAGGCCAGCAAAGGTGGCTGGCAGCCAAAGACCGTTACGTAGGAGAAAACTATG